GGAGCTCATGGATGAGCTGGGGATCTGCTCCGGGGGGCAGGGACATGGAGACCAAGGAGGGCCCTGCCCTGAGGCTGGGAGGCAGTTCCTCCCCCAGGGCCAGGTAGATAGATGCTCAGGGAGCTCCATGTCTAATGCTCCGAGGTCAGGGCCCAGGCCCCACACAGGCCAGGAGGGGTCCTGGTGGGCTCTCCCCCTCCCCCACGTCCCCTCTCCTGCCTACTCCGGTTAGGGGTGTGGGGGCCGGGGTGTGGTGTGGCCAGACCTCCAGGCCCCAGGGCGGCCCTCCCTGCTCTCCCTGTCCCCACTGCCCCCTGCCCCTAACGCGCCGGCCTCTCGCAGGACCTGGGGGCCCTGAAGATCCCCGAGCAGTACCGCATGACCATCTGGCGAGGCCTGCAGGACCTGAAGCAGGGCCACGACTACGGCGCCGCGCAGCAGCTGCTCCGCTCCAGCAACGCGGCCGCCATCTCCATCGGCGGCTCCGGGGAGCTGCAGCGCCAGCGGGTCATGGAGGCCGTGCACTTCCGCGTGCGCCACACCATCACCATCCCCAACCGCGGCGGCCCCGGCGCCGGCCCCGACGAGTGGGCGGACTTCGGCTTCGACCTGCCCGACTGCAAGGCCCGCAAACAGCCCATCAAGGAGGAGTTCACGGAGGCCGAGATCCACTGAGGGGCGGGCCCGGCCAGAGCCTGTGCCACCGCGCAGAGACCCAGGCCGCCTCCGCTCTCCTTCCTGTGTCCAAAACTGCCTCCGGAGGCAGGGCCTCCAGGCTGTGCCCGGGGAAAGGCAAGGTCCGGCCCATCCCCAGGCACCTCACCGGCCCCAGGAGAGGCCCAGCCACCAAAGCCGCCTGCGGACAGCCTGAGTCATCTGCAGAACCTTCTGGAGCTGCCCTAACGCTGGGCTTGCGGGGCAGGGGCCGGCCCACTCTCAGCCCTGCCACTGCCGGGCGTGCTCCATGGCAGGCGTGGGTGGGGACCGCAGTGTCAGCTCCGACCTCCAGGCCTCATCCTAGAGACTCTGTCATCTGCCTCCAGGCCTCATCCTAGAGACTCTGTCATCTGCCGACCAAGAAGGTCCTTCCAGAAGAAAGACTCCTCTTCGCTGGTGGACTGCCAAAAAGTATTTTGCGACATCTTTTGGTTCTGGAGAGTGGTGAGCAGCCAAGCGACTGTGTCTGAAACACCGTGTATTTTCAGGGAATGTCCCTAACGGGCTGGGGACTCTCTCTGCTGGACTTGGGAGTGGCCTTCGCCCCCAGCACACTGTATTCTGCAGGACCGCCGCCTTCCTGCCCCTAACCACCACCAAAGTGTTGCTGAAATTGGAGAAAACTGGGGAAGGCGCAACCCCTCCCAGCTGTGGGAAGCATCTGGTACCGCCTCAGCCAGAGCCCCTCAGCCTGGCCACAGTCGCCTCTCCTTGGGGAACCCTGGGCAGAAAGGGACAGCCTGTCCTTAGAGGACGGGAAATTGTCAAATATTTGATAAAATGATACCCTTTTCTACATGGTGGGTCAGCTTTTTTTTTTTTTTTTTTAACTTTCTTTCTCAACATTCCCTTTCCAGCTCAACCTAGCGCCCATGAGCCGGGCTAGGGAAGCTGAGTGAGAAGCCAGGTGGGCGGGACTTTTCCCCAGGAAGGCCGGGCGGGGAGGAAGCCTAGAGGGAACGCTGGGAAGGGCAAATTCACAGGAACGCTCTGCCGTGGGAGCAGCTCCTCCCTTGCCGCGGACACCTTCTCTACCACTGCGAGGTCCAGAGGGCGTTGCTTTCTTTTCCAGGGGGCGGCGGCAGCAGTCAGGGAACTGCAGGGGGCGTAGGTGCAGGGGGCGTCTAGGCCTTCGTGGAGCACCCCAGGAAGTTAGTGGGCCCCAGGGAGGCAGTGTCTGCACAGGCCCCTGCTGGGGCCACCTCCATCCACGAGGAGCAGCCTGAGCCTTGGTGGCTGGAGCTTGACCATCCCGGAGCACAGCTCCAGGACAAGGAACCGGAGCCCCCAGGGAGCCTCACAGGTGTGACAAGGCCCTTCATTCCAGGCAGGTGGGCCAGTGGAGAGTGGTGAGCAGCCAAGTGACTGCGTCTGAAACACCGTGTATTTTCAGGGACTGTCCCTGACTGCATCTTGCCTGTGCCGGGGGCTGGGGACTCTCTCTGCTGGACTTGGGAGTGGCCTCTGCTCCCAGCACACTGTATGCTGCAGGACCGCCTCACTCACGTAAGCTGAGACACCACCCAGAGTGCAGGCTGCCTGGCCCCTTCTGACCCGGCCAGCTCCACACCCTCTGCCTAGGGTATGTGTGGCATCAGCTCCTACGGGCTAGGAGCTTCCCCCACTAACATCTCCCAGAAGCAGGTAAGCCCCCCAGGGCACAGCAAGGTTAGACACAGCCCCCATCCCCAGATCAGGACTCCATCTTGTTGAGTGGCATCACCGTCACCAGCCTCCCCTTATTTAAAAGCAGCGACTGGTGTTGCCGCAGGTGCCTGGTCTACGAAGACGCAGGCGTCCCCCTCTCCCCCACTGTCCACCTCCCCGGGGGCCAGTGACAGCACAGCCGCCTGGGTGCACGTTTGTGGGGGCAGCAAGAACGGGGCTGCCGCCTCTCAGGGGATCTGGCTGCAGCCAGGGCGAGAGCCCGGCCCTTCTTTCTAGCTGCTTCTAGCCGAAGGGCAGGCTCTGGTTGCTCAGCTTCTGAGGTTCCATCTCCCTAGAAAGGTGCCCACACCCAGGGCATCAGTCAGTAGGGGCAGCAGCAGCGGACTCAGGGCTTTCCCAGGGTGGCACAGCCACCCCAGCTGCATGTCACCTCAGCTCTCCATCTTACTGCCATTTCGTAGATGAGGAAGCTGAGGCCAGAAAGGCTAAGACCCGTGCCCCAGGCATCACGCCCATCTCCTGGGGGCTGGGCACCTGCTACCCGAGTCCACCTCCTGAAGCCCCACTCTGCCCCATGCTCCGCTTCTAGAGCGGCGGGGGCCCATCCCGACACTCGGGTTCCCGAGCCCAGCACAGATGCGCTTCAATGCCAGGGGGTTGTTGAGTTGTTTCTTAGGCATGTTCCCTGTGCACCGAGTCCAGTGAGGCTGTCCCAAGAGCCCCTGTAGTGTGCTGCTGGGGGGGTGGGTGGCACAGAGCAGGGAGAGGCCCAGGGGCAGCTGTCACTGGAACCCCAGCCAGACGTCCAAGAAGCCGGTCAGAACACGGAGCAGCCAGATGGCCCCAGCTGCACCTGTACAGCGAGCCTGCACAGCCTCCTTGTGCTGGAGAAGCAGCTGTGAAAGTAAACGGAGTCGAGACTTTGCCGTGGTTAGGAGAAAATGCAAATTCCCAGGAACAAGAATCCTTTAAGCGATGTTTTTTATACAACTAAACAAATCAACAAATAAATCTTGAAGGCAGATGGTTTTCCCGGCAGTGCAGGGGTAGGAGGGAGGCTGCCGGCACTCCTGGAGCTGAGGGGGACGGGCAGTGGTCCTGAGTCTGCTCAGAGAGGCCAGGCAGGAGGAGCTCACCAGGCAGGTCAGCTCACGTCCGTCCGAGTCACTCTGGTCAGAAACAGCGACTCTCCCCCATCCCCCCAGCGTTCCCACCAGGCCTGGGCTGCTGGGAAGCCCTTGCTGTACCCAGGGGCCCGACTCGCAGTATCCTGGCACAGAGACACCTGTCACTCGGAACAGTCAGTGTCTCCAACGCACAAACATCCACTCCTCTGTTACCAGTTAAAGCACTTTAATGCTTTAGGGTGGACACGCGACCCCATCTGTGTGTCCGTGTAGGCTGGTGCTTCTCCGAGCAGTATTAACGGACGCCCTCCAATGACGTGACAACTGTTTTTGGTAATGTAATCTTGGGAAAATGTGTTATTTTTTTAGCTGTGTTTCGGTGGGGATTTTTGTTTTTGTAACATAATAAAGTGTGTGTTCCAATGACTGGTTCTCATGACTAAACCTCCATCTCCGAGGGGCTCAGACATACAGGGCGGCTCCTCACAGGCGGGAAGCCTGTGGCCTCTGCGGCCGGCCCGGCAGCCCACCTGCGTTTCTCTGTGTCGTGAGTCTGATGGGTCCCTGGGGTGTCCCTCTGCCCTGTGCCTCGGAGGAGCTGCGGGCCAAGCCGAGTAGCCTCGTGGGACTGGCCGGGCCTCTCAGGCCTCCTGAAGCGCAGGCCCAGGCTTTCTGCACTTCAGCGAGGCCAAGCAGGGTCTCCAGGAGTCACAGACACCCACACAGAACGCACCCTCGTTTCTCAGCAAAACCTAAGAAAACAAAAGGCAGCAGAGAGCCTCGTGCTGGCTCAAGCCAGGCTGAGCCCAGAGGCTTCGTTTCAGTTCTCTTGGTTCTCAGGTTTCTTGGTTTCAGACTTGTGAACAGTGACTAGGGTCCTGTCACAGCAAAAATAAGGCTCTAGAAATCTGTTCAACCTCAAAGGAGGCCTCAGTCTTTTTAGAAATTGGCCTTAAACAAAGAAAGAAAAGACCAAGGCAAAAGGGAAACATGCCGCCAGGAAGCTCCACTGAGTTGCCCCACAGGTGAGGTGCAGGTGAGGTGAGGTGCAGGTGAGGTGAGGTGCAGGTGAGGTGACGTGCAGGTGAGGTGACGTGCAGGTGAGGTGAGGTGAGGTGACGTGCAGGTGCAGGTGAGGTGACGTGCAGGTGAGGTGACGTGCAGGTGAGGTGACGTGCAGGTGAGGTGACGTGCAGGTGAGGCGCCATGCCTGGCCTTGGCCCCACCTTCCTGGCTAACGCTCACCCCTTTCCCTAGGCTCCTACCTGTCCCCACATCCACCAAGGAGGGCTGGGCGGCGGTGGGCCCAGCCCCTCACAGCCACAGAACTCTGGATCACCAAAGTGCTGAGGCCTCAAACTAGACAGGAAGTGGAGGGATTGGGGATGTTCCCTCGGCAAGAGGGTGCCATGTAGAACGTAGAAACGGGGACTCTAAAATGCCCTTTCAGGAATGGACACAGAAACGTGAGCGCTTTTAGCACAAGGGTGAGTTTGAATATCTTTGTTTAAAAGGTTATTTTTTTTTAACTATAGCATGAGAAATACACACCATGATTTTCAAATATATAAAAACATTTCCAGTAGGTTCCACACAGAATTTTGGAAAGCTAAGCTGGACTCGGAGCAGGTCTGCTGCTCCCCAAGGCACTACCCTTCGAAGGTACCTGGCTTCGAAGGTACCTACACCACCTGGCTGCAAAACGGAAAGGAGAAGGCCTGTTTCCAAAAGGTCTCCACACCCCTTTGGGGGGAAAACAGCCGCCGTTCACTCCTGCGCTCACATCCAGAGAGGAAGCCTAGATTCAGGCGACAAGAACAGAATATGGGCTTCTCATACCACACACATATATTTCCTATTTCTCTGGAATGGTGCTGTGTCATTACTATGCACAAAATCAGATTCTTCAAGAAAATTGTTTTTTAGGCCGAGCACGGCGGCTCACGCCTGTAATCCCAGCACTTTGGGAGGCCGTGGCAGGTGGATCATGAGGTCAGTAGTTCGAGACCAGCCTGGCCAACATGGTGAAACCCTGTCTCTACTAAAAACACAAAAATTAGCCGGGTGTGGTGGCGCATGCCTGTAATCCCAGCTACTCAGAAGGCTGAGGCAGATGAATCACTTGAACCCGGGAGGCAGAGGTTGCAGTGAGCCGAGATTGCACCACTGCACTCCAGCCTGGGTGACAGGGCGAGACTCCGTCTCAAAACAAACAAAAAAAAATGTTTTTAAATACTGATGTAATTACCCCAAAAAAGGCCTAAGGAGGCCTGCAGTCTGCCTCATGCATGCCACATTTAGTCTTAACAGCTTCACCAGCCCTCGGCCCTGTTTGCCACAGAAAAGCTGAAACCGCAGGTTTCTGGGTCAATTTACACTATCCAATCCCTGACCTGCCCTCTTCCTGAGACAGTCAACCAGAGGCCTCCGAGGCCCTGCCAAGGGAACTCTGACGGGAAGAGCATCTCTGCGGCCGGCGCGCAACACAAAACAGCTAAGCAAGCCCAACTTGTGTCCTCAGTCTGAAGTCACATCCTGGAAAGCCTGGTCGCACCAGAAATGAAACACACATGGTTTCCCAATGCTTCCTGTTCTGAGTCTCCAGTGAGGACAAGATCGCCAAAAGGTTCTGTCTCCCTCTCTCAGTAACAGTGAGAAGAGAAACAGGCAACTGGATATTGGGCAGGATCTTGGCTCCAGCCTCGGGTTGGTTCACGGAGCTTCTGTCTTCACCACGGAGGCCTCTGCCGATTCGCAGGGCAGGGCCACAGCTGACCGGCTCCACCACGACTGCTCCGTGGCCGCAGCCACCCGGAAGGCCCTGAGGAACTGCTCTTTGGTGATTTCAGGAGGTTCTTTCCCTGCACATTTGCACAGATTCAGGATAAAACCCAACACATCAGAGCCAGACAGTATTCTTGTTGGGACATGTGAAGGGGCCACTGGCTCGGGGTGGGACACTGGTCCTAGAGAGACCCACCTGCCCCTCTTGGACAAGCCCAACCCAGGTCCCGGAATTCTGTTCCACCTCCCTGGTTCCCAGTCACCCCCATGACTGACAGAGGGTAGAAGGCGTCCTATCTCCAGGACACGTGGTATCCACTAGATCTCAGGAGTTCAGAAGTAGTCATCATTTTATAAACCTCGGAGTTCTAGAAGATTTCTTAGGACATGTCAGGCAACATGGTACATGCACGGAACCCCAAAGGAGCATCTCTCAGAATCTTCCTCAAGTACAAGCAACGCAAATGATCACTGAGATGGACAATTTCAAATCTGAACCCAGCATCTGGAATGCAATTTTCCACCTGAAATTGGCATATCATCTGCACTGACTGCAGCCTGGAAGGCATCTACCCGTTGAGCATCGGAACATCCCAGGTTCCTCCTGAGAACGTCACCCACCTTTAAGGGTTCTGACAAAGTAGCTGAAGAGCTCTCGATACGAGTCCTGGTAGCGGCTAGCCTGGGTCTGGGAGCCGAGGGACAGGGACGTGCCCCGCCCGGTGATGCCCAAGGGATTCTGATTCTCCATCTGCAGTGTGCCTTGGGACCCACGCACCTGGGAGCCATGGCAAGACAGGAGTTAACCAGGCCGAGCACGGGAAGTGGGGAGGGGAAGGGGATGACTGAACACCACCAGGGCTTTTGCTGGTGGGGGTGGGGCGGGCAGGTGACACATGACGCAGGCCTTCCAGGACCGTCATTATCACTTCCCATGGCACACCGTGACCAACACCGGCTTTCCATGTAACGGCCAAGGAAGCACAGGCTTCTGTAGAGCAACAGCCAATGTAAAGGAAAGCCACTGTCACAAAACAGCTCCTGGAGGCCCAGAAGCCAGAGAACGAACTCTCTTCAAAACCTGAAGATGTGGCTCTCACCAGAAAACTAAAACGAATATTTACTGAGCACTGACTGTGCACAAGGTGTGCTGCATGTGCTCCAACTGGGGATGGCCAGGTGATGACCTCTATTTAACCAGCAGGATCAACCCGGCTGATGACCTCTCTCTAACCCGCACAATCAACCCAGCTGAGGGTGGCCGGGTGATGACCCCTATCTAACCCGCACAATCAACCCAGCTGAAGGTGGCCGGGTGATGACCTCTCTCTAACCCGCACAATCAACCCAGCTGAGGGTGGCCGGGTGACAACCCCTATCTAACCCGCACAATCAACCCAGCTGAGGGTGGCCAGGTGACGACCTCTCTCTAACCCGCACAATCAACCCAGCTGAGGGTGGCCGGGTGACAACCTCTCTCTAACCCGCACAATCAACCCAGCTGAGGGTGGCCGGGTGACAACTTCTCTCTAACCCGCACAATCAACCCAGCTGAGGGTGGCCGGGTGACAACTTCTCTCTAACCCGCACAATCAACCCGGCTGACGACCTCTATCTAACCCATAGAACGAACCCAGCTTTTCACAGTGGACTGGCGAGGGGTGGAAAAGGGCAGGGGGTCACCTCCAATCCCTGGTCACAGCTGTCTGTACGGTGCTGGCTGACGTCCACGCTGACCATAGCCCCACAGGGAAACTTCATGCTGATCATAACAGTCTCTGCATCTTTTAAGGCAGCCATATCTAAGCAGAAGAAAACTTTAGATGATACAAAAGTTAATTTAGGCAAATTATAAACTGCTTTGTTTGGTTTTTTGAGAGTCTTGTTCTGTCGCCCAGGCTGGAGTGCAGTGGCACGATCGTGGCTCACTGCAACCTCTGCCTCCTGGGTTCAAGCAATTCTCCTGCCTCAGCCTCCCAAGTAGCTGGGATTACAGGCGTCCACTATCACACCCAGCTGATCTTTTTGTATTTTCAGTAGAGACGGGGTTTCACCATGTTGGCCAGGCTGGTTTCGAACTCGTGACCTCAAGTGATCCCGCAGCCTCGGCCTCCCAAAGTGCTGGGATTACAGTGCTAGGATTACTACCACATCTGGCCTGAACTCACTGCTTTAACTGAAGCAGTGGACGAACGGCATAGCCAAGCAGTTTCACAGAAACTGGTCCTTAATAGAAAATTAACTCTAAATTGTTCCAAAATGGGTCCCTGAGAGGCATGGGGACGCTGCCCAGCAAGCGGTCCAGTTCCGTGTTTGCTAAGCTTCTACGGCATGGGCAGTCCCGGGCCCAGGCACCTTCTGGACCCTGGGGGTACAGCCATGAGCCTAGCAGAGCCAGTCGCCATGTCCCCACCTGGGGAGCAGGCCCCAGACAGGTACTTGTCTGGCCTTCTGAGGAAGAGCGAGAAGTGGACAAGAGGACAGTGGGGTTGCGGGGGGCGGCACCTATAGGCCTGAGGCAGGAGATAAGGGTCTGGAGGCAGGGAACCTAAGGCTATTTCCCAACAACTTCCTTGAACTATATTGAAGGGAAAACCCTAACTTTACACTCCTAAGTAACAAAAGGACCAGAGGCTACTGCCTTTGCAAACCCCTTCACCTCTTCTGCCTGGCAGATGGGAAACTGGCTGTCTGCAACAAATCAGACTGACTGCGGGTCAACTCTTTGTTTGCAACTTTGTGACTTCAGTTCAGCCTCTGAATGGTCCTGGTCCACACCAATCAGACTGACTGCAGGCTGAGTTCTAGTTTGCGAACAAGGATAACTTTGTAACTTCACCCTAGCCTCTGACTGGTTGCTTTTTGCAACCACTTCATTGACATGAGGTGAGCACGAAGTGGCCAATCGGAAACTTCTAGCGGGTATTTGGGTCCCAGAAGATTCTATATCCAGGCCCTAGAGCTGCTGCTCGGACCACTCCTACACTGTGGAGTGTGTTTCATTTTCAATAAATACCTGCTTTTGTTCTTTTGTTGCTTCATCCTTTCTTTGCTTTGCTGGGTGTTTTGTCCAATTCTTTGTTCAAAACACCAAGAACCTGGACAATGTGCAGTCCAGACCCTCGACCGGTGACAGGCCCACAGGGTCGGTGGAGACCATGGCCTCCACCTGTGCTCTGGAGGGCTCAGAGCAGGCAGGCACCTGGTCCAACTGAGGTCTTACAGAGAAGAGATTGCAGGCAGACGGCCACAGCCAGGATGAGGACATGGCTGGGATCGGAGCGGTGGCCAGCGGAGCAGGGTGGGTGGGTGAACTTTGGGCGGATGGGGGAGGTGGTGCCAAAAGGGGGTGCTGACGAGACAGAGTGAAGCAGGTGCTGAGAGGAGTCAGCGCTGGCACCAGCTGGGCCTGGACTTGCCCGAGTACACAAAGGGTGGTGTAAGGGGTACCACGTCAGTCCTGGTCCAAGCCTCAGGACGTCTGTTTCCGCTTTGGTGCCCTGAGGCCATCAAATGTGTGGCCATGCTGCTGTGGGGACCTGAGGAGGCATGGGGATGACATAGAAGAGAACCCAGGTGACAGCGGGGCCCGGCCCTGTGACCCTGGTGGGGCTGTTCCAGGCAGGCCGCTGACCACCTGGCTGTAGTCACATGAGTGACCACTGGGCAGACCAAAAGAGGGACTCCAGCCAAGCCCAGTTCAAGCTGCAGAATCCTAACTACCCAGTGGCTGTTGTTTCAAACCGTGACGTGTTCGCATGATGTGTGCGCGTGACGTGTGTGCGTGACGTGTGTGTGGTGTGTCATAAAGCAACAGATAACCTGTCCTCTGCAGCAGCCCTCAGGACCCACCCTGAGCTTCTGCTGCCAGGCCAGGACCTGGGAACCAGCGCCCCCAGCCCCGCCTTCACCTGGAGATCCCTGATGATCTCCTAATCTGTGTGCAGCCCAGCCTGGGTGTGCTTCCGGCCAGAACCGGGTTTATTCACCTTCGCAACCTTAGAAACTACAGGGGGCCTGTCACATCGCAGGGGCTGGAGAAGTGGTTACTAAAACAGTGACTCTCAAAGTTCATCAAACATGAAATACTTCCTGCATGATGCCTTTCAACCTCAGGAAACGCCTGAGGGGTTCAGTGACGTGACCATTTAGTCATCTTTTTCACATGTGCTCCACGTTACTTTATCTACTCCCCAAAGCTGAGAGTCAGGGAGGAATCCTGAACAGGGGCCCCCGCCTTGCTACATTCAACCAGCCTCAGTGGTCACAGGAGCACCTTGCAACAGTGAAGCCCACTCTTACCTGGGCAGAAGGCATGTCCCACAGAAAACAGTGTCCAAAGTGGCCTCCCCCAGCAACATGCATGTGGCATCCACGCCGCGCACAGCAGTGTTGTAGAAAATCCCACCTGGACACGAGGGAGGGTGAGCTCTGGCTTCTGGTCTTGAGGGAAGCTACTGGCGAGAAGCACTGGAGGTTTCTGGGTCACTGTGTCCACGTGACATGGACACAGACGCCACAACGCCATGCATTCCCCCAACAACGCGGATGCCCACCTGCCCTCTTTAGGGAAGCCGGAGAGGCTGCTGGGAACAGGCTGCTGATGGCGGTGATCCCGTGGATCCTCCCCAGGGCGTGGCCGACACAAACTTGCTTGTGCAAGAACTGGAAAGCCGGATCAAAGCGCCTGGGAGAGGAGCTGGGAAACGAAGCAGGCGAGCTCATTCCCTGAAGCCCATTCTCCCTGAGACGCGTGGGCACGGGGGCAGACATCACCTCAGCCAGCTGAGCTCCTGAAGCCAAACTGACACCAGAGACCCTTCTGGGCCACGTCCCTCAAAGCCCTTTTGAAAGCAGGTAAACTGATGCTCACGACAGCCATCGTGCCCCGGGCAGGAGCCAGAGCAGGAAGGAATCAGCGCCACTGAGAGCACTTCAAACACCAGCCCTGCCACAATGACCTATCTATTTACTCGTTTCTCATCTGTCCTCCTCTCCAGACGGTAAGCTCCATGCGGCAAAGGCCACGCGGCCTTACTCACCAACAGATGCGAACCCAACAAGGTGCCAGCAACCAGGGGCCACCCAGACTCCGGTCAGTGGCCAGTAATGTCATCCATATAATCTGCGGTTTGCAGACGATGGAACTGCTCAGGAGTTCTCCAAGGCGCCCACATCACCGAGCTGGCAGTTGGCAGAGACATAACTGAGAACCAGCAGGACCCACTCAAAATCTGCACACCTGCACACCCCGCTGTCGCCAGGGCTTTAGAACAAGACCAGCAAATGAGAAAAATCAGTGGCAATACCTATTTCCCTCTTCTGGAAATGAGAATCTCATTTAGAGATTGCGGGTTAGCTTTTTTTAAAAAACAAAGTACCCTGAGTATTTTGCATAGTTTTATTTGAAAATGAAGGAAAAAAATCACAAGGAAACTGTCCTTACTTGTAAAATCCACAGACCAAAGGCTTTCCACGTCCGTCGGCTTCGTCGAAGCAGGACTGGGCAGCCTGACAATTCAAACTCGGCAGCCCCTCGCAAAGCACCCCCTTCCCTGGAAACCGTAAAATGAAAACCAAGAGGTCACAGCTCCGAGAAGAGAGCATCACAGACCAAAAGTCCCAGCTTGCCCCTAAGCCTGGTAGCTGCCATTCAGATTCTGATTCCTGGTGACACAATGAGTCAGGCACACTAACAGGAACACGTTCATCTCAAACCTGTAACTACAGATATAATTTTTTTTTTTTGACATGGTCTCGCTCTGTTGCCCAGGCGGGAGTGCAGGTGTGCGATGATCACTCACACTGCAGCCTCAGGCTCCCGGCTCCAGTGATCCTCCTGCCTACTTCAGCCCGCCGCATAGCTGGGACCACAGCGCGCACCACCACGTCTGCCTACCTCAGCCCCCCGAATAGCTGGGACTACAGTGCGCACCACCACGCCCAATTTACTTATTTTTTGTAGAGAGAGGGTCTCCCTATGCTGCCCAAGCTGTTCTCAAGCTCCTGATTTTAACCGATCCTCCTGCCTCAGCCTCTCAAAACACTGGGACTACACGTGTGAACCACTGCGCCCAGCCCAGATGTAATTCCTATCAGTATTCTTCGAACTTGAATAATATACAGATACCTTTTAAAGGAAAGCAAAATTCTCATCATTCCCCAGTGTTGACTTCAATTATTTTGAACATAGTGCTACTTAAATATGTATAAACATAAAATCAGGTATCAATTCCTTTTATATAACTATTAAACCAAAAATCATATATTAGATTAAGAATAAAACCACAAAACCAAGTAAATCCAAATCCATGCTTATTTGATGTGAAGATGATGTTCTGCTGCAACTAACCAGCCCCAGCAGAGCATCTGTGCCCCCAACAGCCTCCACGTAGTTGTTTCGGAGACCATGGGCCCTGCAGAGGACTCCGATTCCCCCTCACGCTTCCCTATTCAAATTGCTGCAGATGCCTTCCTGGGCGTCAGGGCATCACTCACAACACAAGGCCAAGACAATGAAAGTGTATTACTTGATACAGGTGGGTCAACAGACACCGCTTTGGTCACTGAATTACATGGCTCTGCTGGCTGTGAAGTGACTCAGTTACACTTCACAGCCGTGTAATTCACTGGCTGTGAAGTGTAACTGACCACGCTCCATGAACATAGGGACCAAGTGGGGACCTGGGGAGCAGAGGAAAGCCAGGGTCTGTGACTGAGTGTGCTCCGTGAACCCAGGTACCAAGTGGGGACCTGGGAGAGGAGTGCCAGGGTCTGTAACTGAGCATGCTCTGTGAACCCA